TAAAGCAAAGAATTCTAAGGAGAAAGGTTGAGGAGTTGTGTGCTTGAAAAGTAGATAATATGCTTGTCCCTTTGTCTAATTACGTGAGGGAGCTCTCAGTCTTATCGAAGTAGCCTTATGTAACTGTTTTGCTTTATGTAAGCTGCCTTTTTAGAATGAGATTCCAGAGGAATCCCGAAAAGAAGATGAATGCAAATTCCATTTTATACAAGGCTGCGGAGTTCTGGAAAATCTGCATTTCATTATTGACCCATGTCAACTAGCTGTGTTGGGCAATATAAATAAATTGAGCTTTGCTTTCAGATACATGAACTAGAAAGCCCACAACAAATATTTACCAATAGTTGTATTTGCAAGTAATGGTTACTAGAACATTTTAGGATTGTGACTGAACAAGTCAACCCGCCCTGTCATAATTCAAGTTTGGTAGTATGCTTGGCTTGTGTTAATTAAAAGTGCAAATATATTTTTGTGGAAAAAATAGTATCTTGACCATCAACTGGAATAATCTCAGAGTTTGGAAATGATGCTAATTTTTATCTCTGTAAAGCCTTTTAAAAATAAAGATCGAAACCCCTTAGGAACTGCACAATCCTTTGGCATTTGAATTTGTTTTTCTGAATCAATCATACAGCCGGATACTATGAATCCAGCATGAGGCTCTCAGGTTGTGTTAACCCCATTTATCCCTGCATGCTGTTGCTCACCTGTTATTTACACACATAAGAGGGTTGATCCTGCAGAACGAGTAGAGTGCTCTGTTGTGACGTAGAACATACATATTCATTAGCCCTGGCAGTCCCCATGGACATTTGTGGTATGTCCTGATGATCTTTGTATGACAAAAAAGACTTGGGGGGAGTGGAGAGTCTTAATGGATTGAAAACCATATATGGAAACAGGAATAGACAGCATGAGAAATGAAAGGCCGTAAAGTAGCAGCTTTAAAGGTTAACTAGGAAGCAGTCTGTAAACTGGTTATAAATTGTCTAAAATTCACAAAGGTAGCAATAACAAATCAACATTTACTTCAGTATGGGGCAGCCATGCCTCTCACCTCAGACACCTTTTCCTAGCAATGGTTGATGACACCTGACACTAAATACTAAGATGCAGAGTATGAGTGAGTTGTGTATTTTAACCTGCATGTATGAAAAGGGGCACGGACAAGCATTCTTTTGAATTACTCATAGTAGGAGTCTTGGACCCTGATTTTCAGTTGATTTTAGATTATTTAAAAATGTTTATAAGAAATTTTAAAAATATACCCTCCCAAGAAAAAATGTAAATCTATCATTTTAAACTATATATATTTGTGTATGGGCATGATTATATGTTCACTTGTATACTTTGATTTAAGTATTAGAAATTGTAAAGTCCCCAGTGGGAAAAAAAGTACTTATTTGAATTATGGTGATGGTTTCTTGGATTGCTTTAAGCGATCTGATCCCGATCACATATTGAATATAATCTCAGTGGTTTAAAAGTAATATTCCTTTCATCAGTGTAATTTCTTTTGCATAGCTGCTTATGCATTCATCCTCACAAATGCAAGCCATCTTCTTATATAGGTCTTGAATATTAAAAATAATAACTAGTCAGGCCTATGCACACCAAGTTTCATGCTCAGTATGAAATATTGGCAAAATTGTCCTCTTCACATTTGGTCATGTTGTGGTAAGTATTTTCTTTCTATTAGTAAGATGTAATATATGTTAAGGAACCTGATTCAGACCATAAGCTACCCACAAGTTTAATTTTAAGGTCAGGGTATCATACAATGGTGCCCATAACATTGAACACAGGCTCTTTTGTTCTTAAGATTTATTTACTTCTTTGAAAGGCAGAGTTATAGAGAAAGCAGGAAAGGCAGAGAGAGATCATCCATCTGCTGGTTCGTTCTGCCATGGTGGGGGCCCAAGTCTTTGGGCCATCTTCAGCAGCTTTCCCAGACACATTAGCATGGAGCTGGACCAGAAGTGGAGCAGCCAGGACTCAAACTGGTGCTCATAGAATGCCAGCATTGCAGGTGATGGCTTAACCCACTGCACCACCACATTGGTTCCTGAACACAGGCTCATAATAAGGCTAACTTTATGGCACATAGGCCAAGATCTGTCACTTACCCTCAAATGGTCTACTCAACAGCTTTCTCTCGGAAATAATAATAAGAACTTTGAAGTAGCTTTGCCAGGCTCTCAGACAAGTTGTACTAAAGCTCATGTAATTGACAAACAGGAGATACCTTACTAATAAATGAAGCTTTGGTTTGTGGTATTAGAATCTCTAGCATATTCATAGGAACAGATTAGCAGTGGTGGAGATGGTTGTATGGCAAATAGCATGAAAAGATAGCAGGCTATTTAAGAGCAAAGTGGCAGACTGAAATAGCAGCTGTCTGGGACCAGTTTCTTAAAAGACACCATTGTTCATCATTTGAATCAACAAAAAAACTTAGGTATTTTACCGGTGCTCTGATTATTAAAAAGTGGTACTTGGAAAATCTTTCTCCTGAAACTGACTACATTTGAAGTTGTAGAGCAATAGACTCGCCAGTTTTCAAGAAAATGCAATTAAATGAAAAAATTGTAGCCTGAAGCTTCAGAGTGAAATCATCAATTCAAATGCCTCTGTGACCTGATAGAACAAAAGTACCTGATGTTGTAATAGAGAGTGGGAACACCATGACAAAGCAGCAAATGTATGCTGTGTCCAAAGAGGGAGTTGGTCCTTGGAACATCAGCCAACTGTTGCCAGGCAAGAATGAAGTGTTGCAAAATCTTTTAGCTTGTCTGAAAAATAGGAATTTTTTTAATAAAGTTGACTGGTTTTTAAGACCCTGGCCAAACAACACACAGCTGGAGGCTCTCTGCTGCCCTCAGGTCCTCAGGTTGCAGTTCTCTGTGGCAGGGTGAGGGATCTGAACTGTACTTAGTAAGGATCATTGAGCCGAAAATGCCTTCATGATTGGTAAAAAGGACTGCTTTATGCAAATAAGGTAAAATAGGGTGGGCAGAGAATTTGCCACAAAATGTGTCTTGACGTATGAAAATGTGACTTAAAAAAGAAAAATCATTTGACAGTATTAAGTTACATGATTAGAATATCCTATTTTGAGAATGCAAGTTTTGAGATCATTCTCAATTTATTTTTAACCTAAAAGTATTCCACTTCCTAGTTCTGGTCTTTAAAATGTTGAATCACAGATAACAATAATAATAAACGAAGGAGCCAGCGCAGTGGCACAGTAGGTTAATCTTCCGCCTGCGGTGCCAGCATCCCATATGGGCACCAGTTCTAGTCCTGGCTGCTCCACTTCCAGTCCAGCTCTCTACTATGGCCTGGGAAAGCAGTAGAAGATGGCCAAAGTCCTTGGGCCCCTGCACCCACATGGGAGACCTGGAAGAAGCTCCTGGCTCCTGGCTTCAGATCAGCACAGCTCTGGTTGTTGCGGCCATTTGGAGAGTGAACCAACAGAAGGAAGACCTTTCTCTCTGTCTCTCCCTTTCACTGTCTGTAACTCTAACTCTCAAATAAAATAAATAAAATCATTTTATTAAAAAAGAATAAATGAAATACTACAGAAACATTTTGAATCTTGGACAACTTTTGATTAAGAAGATCATGCTCTGTATTTTGCTATGAAAGAACTTTTATACCTTTTTTTAAGATTTATCCATTTATTTATTTGAAAGTCAGAGTTACACAGAGAGAGAGGAGGAGAGGCAGAGAGAGAGAGAGGTAGAGACAGAGAGAGAGGTCTTCCATCCACTGGTTCACTCCCCAAATGGCCGCAAGGGCCAAAGCTGCCCTAATCCAAAGCCAGGAGCCAGGAGCTTCTCCGGGTCTCTATGTGGGTGCAGGGGCCCATGGATTTAGGCCATCTTCTACTGCTTTCCCAGGCCATAGCAGAGAGCTGGATTGGAAATGGAGCAGCTGGGCTTGAACTGGTGCCCATATGAGATGCTGGCACTGCAGGTGGAGGCTTTACCCACTATGCCAGAGCGCCGGCCCCTAAACCTCTCTTATAAACTATATTCCCACTGGAGAATTTCCTTTTCAGTCTCAAGTTGAAGAAAAGCTGATTTATAAATTCTGGGAGTGGTTTACTTTTCTCTGCATAGCCATTGTTGTTTTGTTTCGTGTTCGGTGCACTTCTTTTTCAAAATGGTAAGATATAACATCTCACAGTTGGAGAATGCTTAATACTTTCACAAAATATTATGACTTTAGGTAAACTTTAAGAGCAGTACTATAAAGTTAATGATACATTATTTTCCACATTTTGTAGATGGAAAAAGTGAGCATGATGGGTGTAAGCATCTTAACCAAGATTATAATAAGTAAGTGATGACAAAGCAGTGTCAGTGGTCACTTTCTCAAACCTGGCATTTTACTCTTCAAACAGAATCCTAGAATGTATTTATGCCTCTACAGCCCCTTTCTACCCCAGCAGTCTATTAATGACTCCATAAAATACCATGGTGTATAAAATATCCAAATGCACAGGACACCATAGAAAGTGAAATACCAAAATGACAGTGAGTCTTTCTAGATCGGAATAGGTCATTTCAAAATTCCATTAATCTCTAAAACCAAGGACTTTAATTTGAGAGAATTAGGAAGTAAAATTATGAAGGAGATAGAAAGCTGAAAAGGTTTCATCACCACGTTAAAAAAAAAAAAAGAGAGAGAGAGAGAGAAAAGACAAGACTTCCTTGGTTCAGGTAGTTAGCATTGATCTACAATGCTTTGCACTGAGTGGGCCCTCAATTTATTGAGCAGGTAAGTACGGCAATCCCTCTCTCACATTCAACTCATAAAGGACTTGCAGTTTTGGCTCTAAAGATGGAACCAAATTAGATAGATTAAACAGATTATTTCAGTGCTTCCTCCCTTCACTTTTTCTCCTATTGTTTCTTTTAGATCGGATGTCATATTCTAAGGCAAGGTATTATCAGGAAGTGGACTGAGAAAGCTTCCAGACCCAATGGGTTAGTGCAAGTAATACTAGATGTGCTGTGTCGCCCTCTTGTTTATGAGGATGCATAGAATAGACAAAAGGACAATGCTGCTTCATCTGCTGAAACATTTCAGTTGATTGTCACTTCCCTTACAGAATAAAGATGGGCAGATATTCCAAAGACAGGTTTCAGTACCAGGAGGTTTGGAGTCCCTCCCTCAAAAGGCTGTTTCTTGCATAAACCTGCAGTTTTAGCCATTGACTTTGCTGCTCTCTGCTTGAAATTGTGAATGCTCCGCGTGTTAGTTCTGCCACTCCTGACCTAAGAGACGGTGATTTTGCTGCATTATTAGGCAGAGGAGATGGGAAACCATTTTAATTATTTTGCTGTATTTGGTCTAGCAGTGGTTATTTTTCTAGAATGAATCTTGCTAACTATTGTATTACATTTTTAAAAATAAAGAAAATTTCAGAGACACAGTAGCGCAGACTTCTGAGAGTGCTATGCAGACATCCTGGAGCAAGCAAACCCTGCCATGCCTGCAGGTGTTTGCCTCAGGTCCCTGCCCTGAGGAAGTCGGAGAAAACCTACAAATGAGGGCAGAGTCCCTAGCAGCCAGAATTACCCCATGGGAACATTACAGAAAAGAGGTTTTTTGGGCCTGATGAGCTGTTGCATAGCATACATGTGGTGAAGGTGGGGGAGTAAGCGCCTCTAATATTTCCAGGAATATGGGCTAAAAATAGATTCTAGAAGACCTAGTCTTTTATTTCCAGTTTCCTTCCATTCTGAAGGTTATTTTTATACCCTCCATTTTATTTTTTTCTGTAGAATGGTTTCTTTAAAACTTTGAAGCTGTGGCAGAACTTCAGAGTATGCTACCGTTGTTTAGTTCCAAAACTAGTTAAGTAAGCAACATGAAAGAAGGAGAGTGACAAGGGTGTAACTGTGAAGTAATTAAACCCAAGTCATAAAAGGGTCAGCAATGATGAGAATGTCAGATGTTATCCGAGGCACCCAGTTATATGGAAAAATAGACTTGTTCACTTATACGTGCATAAATTCATTCTATAACAGTGAAACAACACTCCGTCATTGTACTGCAGTAGCGGGCATCCTCATGTGACATGTATGTTAAAATATCTCAAAAGCAATTTTCTATTAAGTTGCATATTTTATAAACATCACATTGTGAAATGTGCCACCTGTGTTAAGAATTTTCTGATCCTTCCAAAAATAAAAAGTGATATTTTGGAACAATCCTTCAGTTTTCTGTAAGAACTCTTTTTCTTACATTTTCTGAATTGTACTGAATCTATTAGGCTATTGCCACATAGCAGTTGGGGATTATTGTTCTAATAATGTTAAATAGTATGATCTCTAGGATTTATCTCTTCCTGTTGTGAAGGGAAGCATATAAAAGCTGTTTTTAAAACCCATCTCATTTAAGTGACGTGAGTTTACTGCATTTACACATGACAGCAATGCAATCAGGGCATGCTTCTCCTGTTCAAGGAAAATTTGTGTTTTCCTCCAGTTTCACATCAAAAATAGTACCACTCATAAACAGAACAGCAATGACAACAACAAAACAAGTTTGGTATTGCTGCAGTCAGTATGAGACCAATGCAAAGGTGTCTAATGCTCCCAAGGCTAGTGGTCTCTTCAGCACTGGCTTCTTCAGCTCCTACTCATATTCAGAGTTTATCATTAACTGTCAACTTCTACTGACAAATAACCTTGATGATTTCAAAGCACTGGATACATTCTCATGTTTCACAGCATGTGAACAATTCTGTTGCCTTAAGGTTAATCAAAACCCAATCTTGCTTTTTGCAGCCCTGCTAAGGTTTTTGTTAGTTACTATGCATCAATTTAAAAAAACTTTCAAATATTTTGGTAAGCACATCCAAAGATAGCATGAGAATCAAAAGGCACTGGTGTATCCAGTAACTGTTCCAAACAAATAATTTTGATAGATAGGATCTTTGCCTAATTTCAGACGAAATCAAAATCTCACAAAATTTAATTAGCTTTGCTAGAGTTAAACTATGCAGAAATTCCCTGAGAAAGCAGGCAGTCTGTTTTATTTAAACTGTATATTTCTGTCTTTCACAGTGATTATAGCTTATTGAAATTATTTTACATTTTCCTTATAAGTGAACAGTTTACAAAAAATGTTATTTAAGCTTGTGCAGATGGAGGGTACCCACCTCCCACTTTAAAAAAAATCAAAGTAGTTTGGTTTTTGTTGAAGGGGCTTTTTTAATTGTGTTTGTTAACTTATGCCAACAGTGGCTCGGTTCAGCTAACTGAAAGGAAGCCATATCTTTTAAGTTGTGTGTGTGTATGCGTGCATGTTGTGATAAATTCCTTTAACTTGTGTGTGTGAGAATGCATGTTGTGAAAAATCCATTGCCTATGACTTCCAAGTTATTTTCTTAGTCTTTGCTTCAAGACATTTATTCACATGTTCCTCCTTTAGCTGCCTAATCAAATTTCAACTCATAGCATATGTGTTTATTTTCTCTATTCTCTATTTTGATACCTTTTAAAGAAAAAAAATCCTAATAGAAATTCCCTGGAAATAATTTACAGGATTAATGAATTTGTAGGTCTTTTAGACAGTTCTACATTACAGTCACATTAATATTCTCTCCTTTTATAAGGCTTGAAGTAAATCCCATGACACTAGAAGAATTTAGATACTGATTACTTGCGATTGGTTCCTGGTGATTTGCTCTTAATAATTTCCAGTTGAATTTAATGAAAGTATGATTCCTGAAATGCTGCTTCATTAAAATTGCATCTTTTCCCCTTTAAGTGTGGTTTCAGTCATTTCACCCATTTTGCGGTGTGTTTTCCTCCCCCTTAAAAAGTAATGATTGAGAAAGCAGAAACAATTAAGGATTTCATTTTAGTTCTTCCTAGAAGTCACTCCCAGAGTTTATCTCAGTGAAATGATGCAAGCTGTACTTTGTGAACATTTACAATATTTTTCAATTTGATTAGATTATTTCAAAACATAGAAAGTTTTTAAATCAGAAATATTGAAGACTTGTGCTGTGTAAAGGAAAAATGAAGAATCCGGTGCACACACACGAGAAGTGAGGTCTTCAATGTTTTTCCTAAAATCTACACACATGTGGAAGTTGATTAAGTTACCCTCTGCAGCATTCAGACTTAATTTAATGGTGTTGGTGATTTGCAAATGAATATCTACATGGATCCTTTTTAAAAATCCAAATGCAAATGAGTTCAACTGCAGTAAAATATATTTGCAAATGAATCCTGTTGCTTTATTCATTTATTGTGTAATTACTGCAATCCTTCCCACCTTGTTTTCAGTATTTCTTAATCATTAAGTCGGAAGCATGACAGCAGTGCCAGCCCTGGCATGATTCTCTTTGACTAAAACCTTGTAAATTAACACAATTAGCACAGCATCATCCTGCTAATTAACTTCCAGTGTCTGGTGCAGTGGTTTTGCAAACAAGGAAGAGGGAGTCAGAAGGGAATCAACATGCCATTCTGTTACCAAACTGTGTGTTGTGTTCAGTTTAGCTCACTGAGTCTACGCTGGCCATGTCAGAAGCCAAAGTGAGGCAGTGAAGAGCGACAGGGGCTGGGGGAGAAAAGCAGAAAGGGGTAGAAGCTGTCAAAATAGGCTAGGTTAATTCAGAAGGGAGCTGGTACCACAGATGCTTCATTTAGACCAGGCCTCCTCCTTATCAAGGAATCTCTGCCAGAGGGCACAAGACAGTTTGCAAAATTCACTTTGGGTAATACAAAAGAGATTAAGGCAGCCTGCTTAATATAGCTGTACCACAGGAGCAAGTATTTGAACGAAGCTGAGATTAGAATGGGATGAGCCAGCACTGGGAAATAGGAGGGCAGGATTCCAGTCCTCTTCTGTAACTAACTATGAGACCTCAAGGGTACATTCTAAGTTTTTTCAAGCCCTGGTTCCTTAATCTGCGAAATAAGACCATTTCTATGGGCTCCTTTACATTTAAAATTCAAATGATTCTCTGATTCTACCTGCTTAATGTTTTCCCTTAAATGAAAGAATATTTGTTGTGTAGTTTGCTACATGGTCGCCTTGCTTCAACTGCTAATGTAGCACATGATAGAAGTACTCATACAGTCTCTTTCTCTGGGTGCACTTTTCATGTAGAAATGCAGAGTTAGAATCCAGATGCTGTCTCCAGGCTCCTCTTCCCTTGCACCTCTGTTTCCTCCTTTCTCAGCCTCTGTCTCTCTCCCTCTGTACCCTGGAGGCTCTTTGGGGAGGGGGGATTGTCAGCGAAGAACGCTAGAAGGCCCACAGACAAGTGATGCTTGTTTTTTTTTTTCAGAGACTCAACAACAGAACTGAGAGGCAGAAAGGAGCCAGTTGTAATTCATACCGAGTTGTAGGCTTTGTGCGATGAAAGCGATGGAGCGCTGCCTGGGAGATTGCTTTGCTGCACTCCACGAAGCAGATTTGAAACTGTCGTGGACCACTTTAGATGAGAGTTGGATTATGGAATGACCTGCTATGTCTGTGTCATATTGTTCTGCGCAGGGAGCATTATACTGTGCTAACTAGGTGTTCAGTACCAAATAAGAGAGGTATCCTAGATGTGATCTGTCAGCTGTGTCTCATTTCTATATTGGTTAAAATAGAAAACAGAAACTGTGATGGGAGAAGACAGAATAGCTAGATATTGTACATGCTAATGCCATCACATGTGAGATATTTAAAATTCACGCATATTCTAAAAACCTGTGATTGAAGTCCAGTTTGACAGGAATGTGTGTGTACATATATATGTGCATGTGTGTGTACAGCAGGTAACTTGCTGGTGCTGAAAGAAACATATTTGCATGTAACTTAAAAATGAAAAAAAATCCAGTCTTCCATAGGGATAATTTACTTAAACTTCAGTTTACTTTGTACTCAGAGCTGAAATTTAGTCCATCATATAAAGAATATATATTATAGAAATCAGAATACATATTCTAAACTGTAGCAGTCCTTTATAATATAGATATCATTAATGGATTAGGTAACAAAAGAAGTTGTGGGAGAGAGCTTTAAGAGTTCTGGTGAATCTCTGAGTAAATTAACTTTCCCTCCCCCCTCCCCCCAAAATCCTTAGGCTTGAAGATGCAGTGGACGCCCGAGCATGCCCAGTGGCCAGAACAGCACTTTGACATCACCTCGACCACGCGGTCCCCTGCCCACAAAGTTGAAGCCTACAGAGGTCATTTGCAGCGCACCTATCAGTACGCCTGGGCGAATGATGACATATCTGCTCTGACTGCATCCAACCTACTAAAAAAGTATGCAGAGAAGTATTCTGGCATTTTGGAAGGTCCTGTGGACCGACCTGTACTCAGCAACTATTCAGATGCACCATCAGGACTCGTGAATGGTCGGAAAACTGAAAGCGAACCCTGGCAGCCTTCCTTGAATTCAGAAGCTGTTTATCCTATGAACTGTGTCCCAGATGTCATCGCTGCCAGCAAAGCTGGAGTCAGTTCAGCCCTCCCTCCAGCAGATGTCTCTGCAAGTATAGGGAGCTCTCCTGGGGTGGCCAGCAACCTGGCAGAACCTAGTTATTCAAGTAGTACCTGTGGAAGCCACACTGTACCTAGTCTTCATGCAGGGCTCCCATCTCAGGAATATGCCCCAGGATACAACGGATCATATTTGCATTCTAGTTATAGTAGCCAGCCAGCACCTGCACTTCCTTCACCTCATCCATCTCCTTTGCATAGCTCTGGGCTCCTGCAGCCACCGCCACCACCTCCTCCACCACCAGCTCTGGTCCCAGGCTACAATGGGACTTCTAACCTCTCCAGTTACAGCTATCCCTCTGCTAGCTATCCTCCTCAGACTGCCGTGGGGTCTGGGTACAGCCCTGGGGGTGCACCGCCACCCCCTTCAGCGTACCTGCCTTCAGGAATTCCTGCTCCCACCCCCCTGCCCCCCACCACCGTTCCTGGCTACACCTACCAGGGCCATGGTTTGACACCCATTGCACCCTCGGCTCTGACAAACAGTTCGGCAAGTTCTCTCAAAAGGAAAGCTTTCTACATGGCAGGGCAAGGAGATATGGACTCCAGTTATGGAAATTACAGCTATGGCCAACAGAGATCTACACAGAGTCCTATGTACAGAATGCCCGACAACAGCATTGCAAACACAAATCGGGGGAATGGCTTTGACAGAAGTGCTGAAACATCATCCTTAGCATTTAAGCCAACAAAGCAGCTAATGTCCTCTGAACAGCAAAGGAAATTCAGCAGCCAGTCCAGTAGGGCTCTGACCCCTCCTTCCTACAGTACTGCTAAAAATTCATTGGGATCAAGATCCAGTGAATCCTTTGGGAAGTACACATCGCCAGTCATGAGTGAGCATGGGGACGAGCACAGGCAGCTCCTCTCTCACCCAATGCAAGGCCCTGGACTCCGTGCAGCTACCTCATCCAACCACTCTGTGGACGAGCAACTGAAGAACACTGACACGCACCTCATTGACCTGGTAACCAATGAGATCATCACCCAAGGACCTCCAGTAGACTGGAATGACATTGCCGGCCTCGACCTGGTGAAGGCTGTCATTAAGGAGGAGGTTTTATGGCCAGTGCTGAGGTCAGATGCATTCAGTGGACTGACGGCCTTACCTCGGAGCATCCTTTTATTTGGACCTCGGGGGACAGGCAAAACGTTACTGGGCAGATGCATAGCTAGTCAGCTGGGGGCCACGTTTTTCAAAATTGCTGGTTCTGGACTAGTCGCCAAGTGGTTAGGAGAAGCCGAGAAAATGATCCATGCCTCTTTCCTCGTGGCCAGGTGTCGCCAGCCCTCCGTGATTTTCGTTAGTGACATTGACATGCTTCTCTCCTCCCAAGTGAGTGAGGAGCATAGTCCAGTCAGTCGGATGCGAACCGAATTTCTGATGCAGCTGGACACTGTACTAACTTCAGCTGAGGACCAAATCGTAGTCATTTGTGCCACCAGTAAACCAGAAGAAATAGATGAATCCCTTCGGAGGTACTTCATGAAACGACTTTTAATCCCACTTCCTGACAGCACAGCGAGGCACCAGATAATAGTACAACTGCTCTCACAGCACAATTACTGTCTCAATGACAAGGAGTTTGCACTGCTCGTCCAGCGCACAGAAGGCTTTTCTGGACTAGACGTGGCTCATTTGTGTCAGGAAGCAGCGGTGGGCCCCCTCCATGCCATGCCAGCCACAGACCTCTCAGCCATTATGCCCAGCCAGCTGAGGCCCGTTACGTATCAAGACTTTGAAAATGCTTTCTGCAAGATTCAGCCTAGCATATCTCAAAAAGAGCTTGATATGTATGTTGAATGGAACAAAATGTTTGGTTGCAGTCAGTGATAACTCCTTTGACAAAAAAAAAAAAAATGTGGTGAATGTTGGCACACACACATAAAACCCACTACATAGGGAATAGAGGCCCTTTCCAGTAGTGTTTAAATTGCAAAGGGTTCGGGGGAAGATGACAATTAAGTTGCATCTTTAGCGTCAGGGTAGATTTGGAGGAAATGTGCATCACATAAGAGCTTCTGATTTGAAAAACCCCAGATGACAGAAATTACATGCGGATGCTCAGTTCGGTTCAAGCTAGACAACACTCACCAAGGAGCAAGGTGCAAGTGTGTTGATTTCAGAAGGACATGAACCTCGTGTGTTGATTCCATTCTGCTGTTCTCGAGATTTAGTTGCTGTCAAGTGCCTGGAGTGGTGCTTTATTTTTTGTTTGCCTCACAATTACATTGGTGGCATGTGCTAATATAAAGAGCTTTAACTTCAAACATTATTGGACTAAAGAGATGAACGGTTGTGTTATGACAGAAAACCAGATTTTTGCCATTTTAAGAGCAACAGTATTCCTCAATCCTGTCTGTTCTGCAGTATTAAGCTAAGAACAGGTAAAACAGGGTAACGGTAATCTGGACCTTAATTTCTGCAGTTCATTTCTTTTAATGTTCTTGTCTGCAAAAACTCAGGAAAGTGATTGTGATTTGTACAGTACCTCAAAGGAATGTGTTGAAAGCACTATGTACTTCTGAGAGTAATGGGATAGGCTTCGGTGTTACTTTATATTAAAATGTATGTTTACCTCAACAATTGGAAGATAGCAAGAAAAATTACTTTGAATGTATCCAGAGAAATACTGAAGTGTGATACAGCTGAATATTTACAATTTAAAGTAGAAATGGAGGGATTGAGAAAAAAAAAAGAATAGTTCTTTTACGAAGGATGGGAAATTAACCAGAGCAGAATAATTCTTCATGTCAATAACTGCAAGAGTTCTTAGTACATTGCTCCTTGATAATTAAGTGAAGATGTTCTTAAAAGCTACACTGGTTAACGGAAAGCTACTTATTCAGTTTGTGTTAGTGTCTGGGACAGTCAGCCACAAGGCCTCTTGGGGACCCTGAAAAGTCACAGTACCTGAAAACTAGAACTGCCCTTGACTGCGTAGGCGATGATGGTGGTGGTGGTGGTTTGCAAGTTCTCTCAAAACTGCTGGGAATGGTGTCATTCTATTCACTAAACTAGCTTACAGGCTTGCCGTGCTGTTTGATAGAATGCAGAGGATAGCAACCAAAACAAACACACAAATAAATCAAAGCGGAAACCAACCAACCAACCAGCCAACTGCTATAGATCCACAAAGAACCTCTGTGTTTCCTCCCCTCTGCGAGTCCACTCTTGTCAGTACAGTTTTGCTTCTCGTTTTGAAATCTGGGCTGCAGTGCTCCCGTGTTTATTTCTACCTCAGTTTTGTTACATTTCTCTCAGAAAGTGAAGTAGAAAATTGGAAGTGGACACACACACACACACACACACATCCTGCAATATAGCTTGCCAAATACGTTGCTTGGGTTGCCCCCATCTTTCCCTTTCCCCATTAAATCTGGTTTCCAAAAGCAACAGTCTTTTGCCGACTTCCCCTTCAGCCCAGCGCACCCCTCTCTTGGCATTTGTGGCATTTTTCTTAATTTCCCATTTCTCTCCTGTTCCCCATGCAGCTGTTCTTTATACCTTTTAATGCTTTATGTGCAACTTCTCATTGATAGCTGGCTGATGTTAGGCAACGCCTCTGAACAGTCACTATGCAGGCTGTAGCTCCCCAAAGCCACTGGCCATGCATAAGCAGAACAGCCTGGCTTATTGAATGTATGTCCTGTTTCTGCCCACCCTCCACCCCGACCCTGCTCCTTTTTTAGTTTAGAGATGCAGTAACAAAACTGTGGCAAAGCACTGGCATTTTATGTATTCAATAAGTAATGTACATTTTTTAAAAAGATTTAAATAAATGCAATGAGAAGCCCCAAGAAAGGTCTTTCTGTTATTTTTTTTTTCTTTGAAAATTTTTACTGCTCTTATCCACAGTGTCAAACTCTCTGAAATGCTTCACAGGAAAAGCTAGCGAGGGACTTTGTGATCTTTCTGAAATTGTATGATACTTGATCATCACTCCCCCTTTTTATTTTTTGTGTTGCTAAAAACTGAGCAAGTGAACCAGAATTTAATTTACTATGATGTTCTGTCAATTAAAACTGTGCTTATATATAAAATACTCCATTTTAAAAAGTGGTGCCTTTCATTAAGGATACAAAAAACAAATACCTAAGTATGTCCTCTGCTTTTCAACACTACAATCATGTTCTGGGTCTACCCTGTGCATCCCTGTCGTAAGGAAATTCTAATATCCCCATTAACTTGTAGGTCCATATTGATCTCTCTGACAAGTTTACTTTTGCACCGTGCTGACCTATTTTCTTTCAGACATTGCATTTCATTTCCGCCAACATGCTGTGTTCACTTGAAAGCATCTGGCAAGTTTTGACAAACTCAGTCTTATTTAGACAACTTTGGAAAATCCAGTATTGACCCACATTTTTTTGTGGCTAGTGAGACTTAATACCAAATATATGACTGCACTATTGTGTTTTACACTCATTTATGAAGTGGAAAATTAATTGAAGTCATGCACATTGGCTTTTAGCTTTAAGTAACTTAAAAATTCAAAAATCTATGTATTTAGAAGAAGCTGGAGTCGTGTGTGATTTTTCCCTTTAGCCTCACAAATTATAGGATTTGATCCCTTAGGAAATGGGGCAAGTTGAAGAAATGAAGATGTGTTGGAAGAGATGAGGCTGACCTTTGAGTAAGAGTGCAGTGCTCTCCTATGATTCTTTGATTCTGCATGGCGGCAGCATCTTGAGCTCTTCAATAGACCAATCTAATAATGAGCTCTTTTCTGACCATCCATTTTGGAGCTGGGGGTACCATCAGTGATAGTACAACTGAGTAATCGGGCTTCATCCTCCTGGCCTCTTTTTGACTGCTAAAAATTTGGAGAAGGCTACTAATGAAGGTAAGATAATGAGCCAGTCCAAATCCCTTGCTGTCTGGCCAGGAGATTGAGCCAGTCCACTTAAATGCCCCTAATTCCCTTCCTCACAACTGCAATAACATTTCCTACAGGGATGGAAAGGAAGTGAAGGAAACTACTTCAGTAGAAAGATCAATAGAAATCCAAGAGGTAATTCATAATGACCTTGTATGTGACACAAATGGAAATACTCCACACTCTGCCATGCTTCTTTCCAAAATATTTAGAACTTTAGTGACAATATGGAAAACTTTGCTGACTGAGCTGATCAATGGAATGTGAAGGCAGTATACTTTAAGGCTATTTACTTTCACACAGAATGTTTATCTATTAGTCAGTTTGTATTCTACTCAAATGCAGATAGACGGGTATAATGTTTTCTTGTGCATTTGAAACCTATCAAGGAGAAAATAAACCATTCCACTACAATACATAGGCCAAACACCATCTGGGCAAGTGATAAAAGCTATCCAGAGGCTATGCTATGTAAAATAGCAGGGTCAATTTACATGGGTTGCATAGTACTTGGCTATGCAGTTTTCAGAGGAGTATGTCAAAAAACAAATCCAAATTAATTCTTACAATAGGTCTTTGTAAATTTAAACATATTTGGGGGTTGGAAAGTATGTTTTAGAGGCATTTAATTTTTTTTTCTCTGAAAATATATCCAACTCCAAGCAGAAAGACACTTCTATATTCGCATTCTCATATTTCTTAGCAAAAATTGGGTATCATGATCATTGAATATGTAGTTTGCAAAGTGAAAGGGACACCGTTTGTTGAACTATCGAGGCCACTAAAGTAAAGATCTAATATATATATATATATATATATAAATATAATTAGTGTGTGTGTTTGTGTGTGTATGTGTGTGTGTGCTGTTTTCACTACCACCTATTTGAACTTTAAAACAAACATCTATTTTATATTATTCAGAAGCAACTGGTTACATCCTTTCTTCATACGTGCAGAGGTACACTTGAACACTTTAAAGTGTTTTAACATGTTTTCTTCTTTTGGAAAGTAAAGCCTTCAGTTGTTGAAACACCTGCTGATTTTTATATGAAGCACATTAGCAAACATGGAGCTATTAGGATTTCAGAATTCACAACCAGCTGTACTTGTGACTAACCAACACGAGAACTAACTGAAGCTCACACTCTGCTGAGACCTTTGGTTGACATTCGATTTTGAACCTGCCAGATGCATTTGTGTGAACCAGGGATACTGCATCTTTAATGAACAAGTCTCTCCTCTTTCCCCTGTTTTTAAATACAACACAAGCAGTGTAGCACCAGGCACTGCAATTGTCAAAGACAATTAGACTGAAAGCAGGGAAATTTCACCTCCCTGTCTCAGTGATATGTAGAATGTCGGCAGCATGGGTCAGCCTTGCCACAGAGTTGTGTGAGAATATATGAATCAGACCTATAGAATGTTAAATATTTATAAAATGGTTCTGTAGTACACCAAGGTTGGGAGCACATTCATTCCTTCTTGTTGTCTTATGATACAGAAAAAGAAAAACTTTATTTCCAGGCTTAAAACTCTCTCACTCTCCTCTCCTCCCCTCCCTCCCTTTCTCTCTCTCTCTTCCTCTCTCTCTTTCTCTCCCTCTCCCTCTCTCATTTCTATCTGTGTGTGTGTGGATGTGTGTGTGTGTGGATGAGTTTCCCTTGTGGATTATATACAGTTGCTAGAGAATATTCATTTCTTTTTTTCTTTTTTTCATCTGACGTATATTCGAACATTGTTCTTTATAACCATTTCTACCTCATTGCTACATATTGTACATGTAGTATTTATTTGTTGTCTTTATTTGAATGTCATGCATTTCGTAAGAAAAAGATTTGTCCTTGAACTTGAACAGTCTACCTCAGAAAGACTGTCTTTACACTGAACAGTATTAGCAACATAAATGATAAGACGCATTAGCGAAGTGTGGCAGGGTAGATAATGCACGAGTACTTGGGATACTGATGGACTTTTAATTGTACTCATAACACAAGACTGCTTAAAAGAACTTTAAAGAAATTATGCACTGTGTAGGTCTTCATCAAGGTCCCACTTGGCATGTAATATACAGAATACAGCTTTATTCCTTTG